ACAATGGATACAACAAACTCTTACCATTAACTAAAATATAATAGGCTGATAGAATGGTATAATCTTGCCTCCAGTTCATATATACAAGCACAGAACCTCTTGCTACAAAGATGACACAAAACATCAGAAGATGTGTAGTAAGCAACCAAGCTGGGAGAGTGGGCAGCTTGTCAACTGCCGTTAAGTAAAGAAATATGTTAAAGTATGAGACAAAGAAACTATAAAACATAAAGATAATATATGTAATCCTTATTCAACTTCAAGTGTAAATTAGATTTAAAATAGGAAAGAAATCATAATTTTCTTAAATGAATCTTTCATAAAATTTTAAGTCAGATTTTCAGGGTTCAGCATCTTTCTTGACACACTGTTTTTTGTGATTTCATAACTTGTCAAAACTTTGTTTGTTCCTTGTGTTCTTGAGCTTGGTTTCCAGAGAGGATAATTTTAAAGACAAAACAAATTTTTATGAGACTCTCCAGAAGTCATCCACCAGATGATTAATGTTTAGAGGTGCACAGGAACTTTTGTCTTTATGTATTTACACCTACCCTTGTTGCAGAAAGAATTTTAAATCAGCTTGTAACTCTTAGAAACTGAGTATTCTATAGTTCCGTAATCATTTACATTCTGTGGTAGGGACTGGGGGCAGAGAAGAAGTCTTTTCAGTTAAATATCAGAAGGAAAATCCAAGGAGAGAAATAAGGGCAAAGCAAATCTGCAGGCTGTCTTTGCAGGAGTCTCATCATACAGTGACACTTCGGGTCGGCTCAGGTGTTACAATAGTCAGGAAATCCTCAGCTGCCTGCTAGGCCTCTCTGCTGAAGGCCTGCTGCAGAATCTGCAGACACCAGCCCCGGTGTGATTTCTGTATCAGCACTTCCTTTGCCTGCCAGCCACTTGCATTTTTACACTTGCAGTCCTCTGGTTCTGCAGTGCAAGTTTAAATTATTCAGTTCTTTCTGCGTGTCCATTGATGCCTAAATACATGCCAGGCAAGTAAGGGTTAACTTTAGCGGGATCTACAGCCTACAAAGACTGACAGGTAGCACATGGGCTACAAGATTGGACTTTGGGGGTGAACTGCTTAGGTTTAAGCTGCTTATTTTTTGTGTGTGTGACCTTAGAGAAGTACAACTTTTTTGTGCCTGTATTTCCTCAAACATAAAACAAGTGGTAACTTCATCCTTTAGCATCACAGTATAAAGATAATTCATGCTTAGAGCAAGTACACAGTAAGTGCTCATAGGTAGCACACAGCAAATGTTAGCTGAGATTACCATAATTATTATAATTGATAAGACGTGCTCTTCTACAATATCTCACTTGAATTTTTTGATGGTACTCTTTTAAGGTATGAAGTATTATTAGCCTCATTTTCTATTTAGACCCTAAGGCCAGGGTTAGAGTTGTGTTGTATGCATAGTTCCCCACCAGGCTTGTAGGTAGACTGGGGAGCGTACAGGCTTCACCTCAGGAGCCTGTACAGAGCAGTTGAAGTGGTTGCTCAGAATCCTAGCTGGAGAATTCTCCAAGCAAACCTCCCAAGATCTTTAAGGAAAGAAGGCCTGATTGATGAGCGGTATTCACTACGGCTTAGTATTATACAGTTGCTTTTTTTTTTCTCTCTCCTAACTAAAGTTTCTTATTAATCCTGATTTTTTTTCTTTATAAACAAAAATTTGAGATAAATTTGAATATATTTTTTGTAATGAGTTAATAATTTATATAGAGTCATTTTAGCCTTAAAATTTTGCTAGAGAAGTGTTACTATTCCTAAAATAGTGTCTTACTAGGATTGTTGGCAGAAGGGTTCTCTCACAGTTTCTCTGCAACAACTCTTCATATTTTCTGCTCTCCTGGGCACACAGGTTGAGAATCTTGTAATCACCATTTATCTCTAATGTTAGGGCTAAGTTTGGAAATTTGGGTTGAGTACTAATGGCAGTTTCATGTAAGCCAAATACTAGGCTTGAAAGCCGAGAAATTGTTTTGGATGTATCTTATAAATATCATTTTAAATACACACAAGAGCTAGGTTTCTGTGAAGTCAGTATATTTGATCTGCATGCTCAGGACTTTTTGGTTTTATTTTAGCCAATGTCATCTCATTCCCAGTATTTTTAGACTTACTGTGGGGGAGTGGCAACTTACATTTTGTTTTGTTTTTTGTTTGGGTTTTTTTTTTTTTAAGATTTTTTTTTTATTTGAAAGGCAGAGTTACAGAGAGCAGAGGCAAAGAGAAAGAGAGGTCTTCCAGCCGCTGGTTCACTCCCCAGATGGCCGCAATGGCCAGAGCTGCGCTGATCCGAAATCAGGAGCCAGGAGCTTCCTCCGGGTCTCCCACACGGGTGCAGGAGCCCAAGGACTTGGGCCATCTTCTACTGCTTTCTCAGGCCATAGCAGAGAGCTGGATTGGAAGTGGAACAGCCAGGACTAGAACCAGCGCCCATGTGGTATGCTGGCACTGCAGGCAGTGGCTTTACCTGCTATGCCACATACCACCCTACAACTTATATTTTGAATATTGACTTTACCTAAATTTGAGAAAAAACAGAGTTGGCCTCGACGTTCCACCTTCTCTGTAGGAAGATGCCTCAGGAAAAGCTGACCAGCACTAAGTTCACCTGAGTACCTAGCTTGGGCTGACCATTGGGAGATTGGAGTAGTCCTGTTTGCCAGTATTAACTGTCTGCAGACAAAGCTGATGAAGTGTAGGAGCTTGGCACTCCCTTCCCTAGCTGTCATCCATACAGGAAGATGAGGGAAGGAATGCACTACAAGTGATCTTCCCAAATTGAACTCTGTAGATTTCACCAAACTATTATTGGCATCACCTACTCTCTAGTTCTTGCTAAGATACCTGTAAGGATAAAGAGAATTTACCAGTGTCCTAGCCATCTTTGGACAATTCTGACAAAATTTTCCTCTTACTTCTGCCTTCTATATAAGATGGCTAAGCAAGGAAGAAATAAATCTTCCCCTCAGAAACCGTTTCCCATTCCACACTCACTACTGCAGAACTGACTTGCTCTGATTCCTTGAGCTTTTTATTGATGTTAAGTCCGAGAGTTGTTTTATGTATACTTGAATTATACAGCGGCAATGGCTTAGGTTAAATATGCATCTGAAAGAGTTGTGGGAAGTGTAAGACTATTTGGGGGGAAAGAATTTTTCCCAAGAAGTTTTCCAAGAATGTACCTTGCAAGGACTCTACAAAGCATACTCTCTATAGAGACAAAATGGTCTTTAATCTTTCTAATTAGGCTATATATTGCTGACTTACAGGAGATCATGTTGACTAATCACATTTCAAGGAAAATTACTTTTAAGATTCTATTATAGGCAGTCAGTCATTCTTTTAAAAAGATTTATTTATTTATTTATTTATTTATTTATTTATTTATTTATTTAAAAATCAGAGTTAGAGACAGAGAGGCAGAGAGAGAGAGAGGTTTTCCATCTGCTGGTTCACTCCCCAGATGGCTGCAATGGCCGGAGCCGCACTGATCCAAAGCCAGGAACCAGGAGCTTCCTCAGGGTCTCCCACAAGGGTGCAGGGGCTGAAGGACTTGGGCCATAGCAGAGAGCTGGATTGGAAGAGGAACAGCCAGGACTTGAACCAGCACCCATGTGGGATGCTGGCACTGCAGGTGGCAGCTTTACCCACTACACCAAGTGCCAGCCCCAGTCATTCATTCTTTATAGGTATTTACTGGAAATTATTAGAGAAAAAAAAAGTACATTGTTTCTTATGAAGTTGGTATTAAATACCTTGTGAGATGTCATTCATTTACGTAGTGTTTCAAAAATAAAAATATTAGGGGACAGGCATGTGGCTCAGCAGTTAAGGCGTACTTGGTATGCCTATATCCTGTTTCAGAGTGCCTGGCTCCACTTCCATTCCAGCTTCCTGTTAATGCATAGCCAGGAGGCAACAGGTGATGGCTCAAGTACTTGGGTCCCTGCCAACTATGTAAGGAGACCCATATTGAGTTCCAGGTTTCTGGCTTTGACCTAGTCTAGCCCCTGCTGGAGGGCACTTGAGGACTGAACCAGCTGATGGAAGGCTGATCAGTTTTCTCTCTCTCTTCCCCTCCGTGGGTATGGGGTGGGGGGGGGGGCCCTGACCTTTGAAGAAAAATGAAAATAAATTTTAAATGTTTTAAATAAATAAAAATATAAATATTAAAAGGTGATCTTTGTTAATTGAATGCTTTTTTCCAAGTGACATAATCAATGTAAATAACATAAATAATTCCATATAAATTATATTTTTAAAATAATTCTCAGCTCTAAGTGCCTCTCCACACCACTCTTCCTCAAGTGGAATGAGTTCATTAATTTTCCCTTCTGAGCAGAGTTTTAATAGCTTTTGCTGCCATGATGAAGAACATGTCATAGATACAGGCTTTTGGACTTTTTTCCATACTTAACAATGTTTAATCTTTTTTTAATTTATTTATTTATTTATTTATTTATTTTGACAGGCAGAGTGGACAGTGAGAGAGAGAGACAGAGAGAAAGGTCTTCCTTTTGCCGTTGGTTCACCCTCCAATGGCCGCCGCGGCCGGCGTGCTGCGGCCGGCGCACCGCACTGATCCGATGGCAGGAGCCAGGAGCCAGGTGCTTTTCCTGGTCTCCCATGGGGTGCAGGGCCCAAGCACCTGGGCCATCCTCCACTGCACTCCCTGGCCACAGCAGAGGGCTGGCCTGGAAGAGGGGCAACCGGGACAGAATCCGGCGCCCCGACCGGGACTAGAACCCGGTGTGCCGGCGCCGCTAGGCGGAGGATTAGCCTAGTGAGCCGTGGCGCCGGCCCCAATGTTTAATCTTTTGATATTTTCCTGAGACTTCTCTGCTGCCTATTTTTCCTCTGGGGATTTTGTTGACTCACAAAGACCCCATTATCCTCACAAAATCTCTGTGCCCTGGTGAATGTGAGAGTCCTTAGCCCATCTCATTTCACAGATATGCGCCTTGTGTTTTGATTGTTTCAGACTGGCCCCGATTCTTGGCATTCAGAAGCATTCACAGGAAAATGCGGTGTTCACACAGTTTATAGCCACCCTGCTGGATGAATTACATTTAAAGAATGAAGACCTCGAAAGTTTAACCACCATATTTAAAACAAGCTGTCAACCAGAGTGGTGAGTTGGATTGTGTTTTACTTTAGTTTTGCCTATGTAGATGCATTTTTCATACTAGAAATTTTAAAAACCAGGGGCTCATTAGGAAGAACATGGTCTCCCTCTGTTCTTAGCTGCCTCAGCCACTCGCTGTCTACGCTCGTATTCTGCGTCCCATCCTGGTAGCTATTCCTCCTTTTCAGGCTCTTGCAGTTCTGGTTCTTGCAATCCAGGAAACTCCCCACTCTCAGTTTCATCCTCAAGCTCAAGCCATCTCACATGTTCTTCTTGATAAGTGGCAGTTTACTTGGACCCCACCACTGCACTGATGCACTGTGAACACCCTCATCCTCTGCCTCTTCCATGAAATCCCCTCCTATCCAGCCTATACTTAGTCCGCTCCTATGTAGATAAGCAGGTGAACTCACAGTTCTGGCGTTGTTAAATCTTGCCTCTTTCAGAACTGCCCACCACAATGGACCTTCTTTATCCTGCCTTCATTGTAACCCTCCATCTCTTCCTTCTCATTTCACACACTCCCGACTGCTTAGATAGGAACCACTTTGATGATCTAACTGAAGGAATTCGTCTTAAAATACAAATGAGACCTTCTCAGGGAACTTTCCTTTAAAAAAAAAAAAAAAAAGCTTTAAACTTTTTTTAAAAAGATTTATTTATTTGAGGCCGGCGCCGCGGCTCACTAGGCTAATCCTCCGCCTAGCGACGCCGGCACACCGGGTTCTAGTCCCGGTCGGGGCGCCGGATTCTGTCCCGGTTGCCCCTCTTCCAGGCCAGCCCTCTGCTGTGGCCAGGGAGTGCAGTGGAGGATGGCCCAGGTGCTTGGGCCCTGCACCCCATGGGAGACCAGGAAAAGCACCTGGCTCCTGGCTCCTGCCATCGGATCAGTGCGGTGCGCCGGCCGCAGCGCGCCGGCCGCGGCGGCCATTGAAAGGTGAACCAACGGCAAAAGGAAGACCTTTCTCTCTGTCTCTCTCTCTCTCACTGTCCACTCTGCCTGTCAAAAAATAAAAAATAAAAAAAATAAAAAGATTTATTTATTTGAAAGTGAGAGTTAGAAAGAGAGATATCTTCCATCTGCTGGTTTACTCCCTGGAAGGCTGCAATGGACAGGGCTGGCCAGGCCAGTGCCAGAAGCCAGGAGCTTCCTCCAAGTCTCCCATCTCCCACGTGGGTGACAGGGGCCTGGGCAGTCTTTCACTGCTCTCCCAGGCCACTAGTAAGGAGCTGGATTGGAAGTGTGGCAGCAAGGACACGAACCAGTGCCCATGTGGGATGCTGACATCGCAGGCAGCATCCTTACCCACTATGCCACAATGCTGACCTCAAAACTAATTTAAATTACAAAAGCAACACAAACGTGTTATAAACTAAAAATTAAGCAATATAGAGTTCCATATGTAATAAAAAGGGAAAATTGCCTCTTTATCTCTGCCTCCAATCCCATCTCCTTCTCAGAAGCACACTTGATGTATCTCACTTTATATTTATTATTCGATTTTTTTATAAAGCAGCTTCAAGTAAGTCTTTAAATACATAGGAAGGATATTTGAGAGAAGTGGTTTGGCAGATAAGAAAGAATATCATCCCTTATTGAAACTGCTAGAAAATAGATATAAGTAAGTGCCTCCCAGATGAACCCAATGGCCGTTTCAAATGACCCTGCAATCCTGAGGATCCTGTAAAGCAAAAGCTGTTGTTACCTAGGGATTGAGTTCAGGGCAGTCTGGGTAAGCATAACATTCAAATTCAAAGGCCCTTCAAGGTCATGTGCCTCTGGGGCCAGCGCTTTGGCATGGCAAGTAAAGCCACTGCCTGCAACACAGGCATCCTATATGGGCACCAGTTTGAGACCTAGCTACTCTACTTCTGATCCAGCTCCCTGCTCTTGACTATGGAAAGCAGCAGGTGACTCAAGTGCTTGAGCCCCTCCGGCACACTCACATGGGAGACCAGGAAGAAGCTCCTGGCTCCTGGCTTTAGCCTGGGCCAGCCTCCAGTCATTGCAGCCATTTGGGCAGTGAACCAGCAGATGGAAGACCTCTGTGTGTGTGTGTCTCTTCTTCTCTCTGTATAACTCTTTCAAATAAATAAATAAATAAATCTTTTAAAATAAAGAAGATGATGTGGTTAAGGTTTTTTGTTGTTACTGAATGTTGTGTCCAAGAATTTAATTAGTCATACTTTTCACTTCTCGACACCCTATGTCCATTGGTTGAAAGGCTTCTTTCTCACCCAGTACGCAGTGCCTAAGCAGAAGTCCTTAAAGGCCTGCTTTCATGCATAGATACCAATTAAGAATCATTTTAACTATCATTTAAAACTAATATGTAAATAGAGGAAGGCATTTAGCCTGGTGATTAAGGTGCCACTTGAGATGCCTACATCCCATACCAGAGTGCCTGGGTTCAGGTCCCAGCGCTGCTCCTGATTTCAGCTTGCCCTGGGAGGTGTCTCCATAAATCGGGTCCCTGCCACCCACTTGGGAAACCTGGATGGAATTCTTGGCTCAGGCTTTGGCTTCTCCCAGCCCCAGCTGTTGCAGGTGTTTGAGGAATGAAACAGCAGATGGGAGGTCTCTGTTTGCAGATCCGTTTTGAATCTCCTCACCTGCCTATTTTGGTGAGATCGTCTCTGTCTCTGTCTCTCTCTGTCTCTTTTTCTCTCTGCCTCCCAAATGGAAAAGTTTAAAGTTTATATGTAAATTGATATGTGAATGTGATTTTAATGACTTTAAACAATGGATATTTTTTAAGTGAACAGTTACCCTGTGGTCATTATTTATTTTTTAGTAATCAGAGGCAGACTTTGTCAGTATTATAAGGGGCTGTCAATGATTGAGGCTTTATTATATAATTTTCCATATGAGAAGTGGAGACAGGTTAAGTAGGTAGATAGGTTTGTGTCTGTATGATTTTTGTATAACATGGTAAATTCATTTGAATGTAAACATTTTAATGCCTAATAACCTTTCCAAGATCATTACGAGGTAGTATATGTTAATATGCTTTCAACTAACAGGGAAAATATATAGCTCCAACTTCTGTTAGGATAGTATATTATTTTTTGATGCTTTACAAATCACTCAAATTTAGTGGCTTAAACGGGAATCTGAGTACAGATGAGCCGGGAGCCTCTGGCCTGTTCTTGCCTGAGGCTGCAGTTAAGCCACGTACAGGGCCACAGTGTCACCAGGAGGCCTAACCAGAAGGTCTCCTTTCAAGTTTACTCACATGGCTATTGGAAGGATTTAGTTCCTTACAGGTTAATGAGCTCAGAGCCTCAATTTCTCACTGACTGTTATCCAGAGACTTCCCCTAATTCCCTACCATGTGGACCTCTCTGTAGCATTCCTCACAGCATGGCATGTGGCAAGCAGGTAGGAGAGGATCCCCGAGTAGGAGCCACAGTCTTTGTGTAACTAATCTCAGAAGTGGCATCCCATCACATTTTTTTTTCTATATTCTGTTAGGAAAGTCACTGGGTCCAGCCTACATTTAAGATGAGAGAATTGAACAAATATAGGGGCATGAATACCAGGAGGCAGCAACATGCAGGGTCATCTTAGAAGCTGACTACCAGAGGTGACACAATTGTTCAATAGTTCCCAGTTTTAGGGGCCGGCACTGCGGTGTAGCAGGTAAAGCCGCCGCCTGCAGTGCCAGCATCCCATATGGGTGCCAGTTCAAGTCCCGGCTGCTCCACTTCCAATCCAGCTCTCTGCTATGGCCTGGGAAAGCAGTGGAAGATGGCACAAGTGCTTGGGCCCTGCACCCCCGTGGGAGACACAGAGGAAGCTCCTGGCTCCTGGCTTTGGATTGGCAAAGCTCCAGCCATCGTGGCCAATTGGGGAGTGAACCGTCATTCTCTGTGGCTCTCCTCTCTCTGTGTAACTTTGACTTTCAAATAAATAAATAAATCTTAAAAAAAAAAAAATAGGGGCCGGCGCCACGGCTCACAAGGCTAATCCTCCACCTAGTGGCGCCGGCACACCAGGTTCTAGTCCCGGTCGGGGCACCGGATTCTGTCCCGGTTGCCCCTCTTCCAGGCCAGCTCTCTGCTGTGGCCCGGGAGTGCAGTGGAGGATGGCCCAAGTACTTGGGCCCTGCACCCCATGGGAGACCAGGAGAAGCACCTGGCTCCTGCCATTGGATCAGTGCGGTGCGCCGGCAGCAGCGCGCCAGCCGCGGCGGCCATTGGAGGGTGAACCAACCGCAAAGGAAGACCTTTCTCTCTGTCTCTCTGTCTCTCACTGTCCACTCTGCCTGTCCAAAAAAAAAAAAAAAAAAAAATAGTTCCCAGTCTATACACAGCACATCACACTGTCCTGGTGAGAGTTTTGAACTTCACACAAATTGAGTACAACCCTACCCAATGCACATTAACACAGGAATGCTATGAGTTAACCGAATCATTCAGGAATGGGGAAAAGAAGGGATTTTCCAATTGACCTGTATCAGTCAAGGCCTACCCCTCACATTTAACATGAAGCTGGATCTATTCCACTCAAACCACTGTTACATAATGGGGAAGAAATGGAATGTTGGGAAGACAACACGTCCACAACAGCTGGTAAAATATTTTAGATGTTTTATTCAAACTATCTTTTTTTGCTTCACAGATATAATCCAAGAAGGCAGAAGGCAGAATAGAAGATGGAGTCCTCTTCCCTCTTTCTGGAATTCTAGCACCAGTGGGAATCTGGAAGTAACTGATAATTAGCTTTGTTCCAAGAAAAACCGCCTTAGGTTTTAACCCCATACCTCCCAGTGCCTAACTGCAGAGAATGACTTTCCCAGATAGAGGAGAACTGTTACTCCAGCGAGGATAACCAAGTCCATGAAACCTAACCACGAGACATTGTATCTTCATTTGAAAATGAAAGCTGAAGTCTTAAGTTGAAACTTGAATGAGTATTCAAGAAAATATAATTACCGCTTAATTTTTCTGGATGATTCTAGCCATCATATAAGTTAACCAAAAACCTGAGAAAATTAGCATTTTGGCCTCCCAATCTAACTTCTAGATTCTAATGAACAACAATTAGCTCAATAAATGCAAACTAAGATGAAGCCTTTGGAAGTCTAATCATTATTCTTTTAAAGAAGCTGTAAAATGGGCCTAAGCAACATAGTAATCTCATAAGTCCAAAACACAAGAATCTCAGAACTTTCTGGACTCAAGGAAGGTTTTTAACATGGGATATGTAGGGGCCAGCACTATGGAGTAGTGGGAAAAGCCACCACCTGTGGTGCTGGCAACCAATATGGGTGCTGGTTCAAGCCACTGCTGCTCCACTTCTGATCCAGCTCTCTGCCATGGCTTGGGAAAGCAGTAGAAGATGGCCCAAGTCCTTGGGCCCCTGCACCCACATGGGAGACCCGGAAGAAGCTCCTGGCTCCTGGCTCCTGGCTTTGGATCAGCGCAGCTCCAGCTGTTGTGGACAATTGGGGAGTGAACCAGCAGATGGAAGACCTCTCTCCCTTTCTCTCTCCCCCTCTCCCTCTTCCTCTCCCTCTCCCCCTCCCCCTCCCCATTCCTCTCCCTCTCTTCTGCCACCCCCATAACTAGGCCTTTCAAATAAATAAATATTTTTAAAAAATAAAAAAGAATCTTGAGAATTTGGGTTGTTTTATAAAATGTCTGTCAAGCAGGCAAATTAGGAAGACCTCCAGAACATTTGAAGGGGGGGTGGGTCTCAGAAAATTTGGGGTTATTGGAAGAAAAAAAGTTAAAAGCAGATCTATACTTTTTTTTTAAGTATTTATTTATTTGAAAGAGTTAAGTCAGAAAGGGAAAGACAGAGAAAGGAGTCTTCCATCTGCTGATTCACTTCCCAAGTAGCTGCAACAGCCAGCGCTGAGTAAGGCCAAAGCTAGGAGCTCTGGTATCCCACAGGAATGGCAGGGGCCCAAGCACTTAGGCCATCTTCTGCTGCTTTTCCTAGGCCATTAGCAGGGAGCTGGATCAGAAGTGGAGCAGCCGGGACACAAACGTGTACCCTCTGTGTCATGGTGATTTTACCTGCTGTGCCACAATGCTGGCCTCCGGATCTGTTCTTTGGACACTGGAGGAAACGGCAGCTGTTAAAGCCCAGTCATGGAAAGGGACCAGAAAGCAGCCAGGAGGGCTGGGGAGGTTTGCGGGCAGGGAGGCAGAAACAGGAATTCTCTTCTTGTCTCTGCCAATAATTAGCTCTGTGGCCAAGTCACATGAACTTTCTGCACTTGAGTCCTGTGCTCTGTGACATACGCTCTTTTTGGGAAAGGACTGCAAACTAAACTCCAGGGGTGAGCAGTGTGACGCAGCTGGTTAAGCCACCGCTTGCAATGCTGACATCCATCCCGTATCAGAGCATGAGCCTGGGCTGCTCTGCTTTTGATCCAGCTCCCTGCCAATGCACCTGGAAAGGTGGTGGGCAATGGCCTAAGTGTTTGGGTCTGTGCCACCTTTGTGGGAGACCCAGATGGAGTTTCTGGCTCCTGCCTTCAACCTGGTCCAACCCTGGCTGCCATTGGAAGAATGAATGAGTGGATGAAGATATCTGTCTCTGTCTGTTGCTCAGCCTTCAAAGAAATGAGTAAACTTTTAAAAATTAAAAAAAAAAAAAACACACACAAAGGCTGCTGCTATTTTGTTGGTATGGGGTCCATTTGACATTTTATGCCATCTGACTGGCTGAAGATCTAACAACAACAGAAGAATGGTGGACTAGAATTAATGCAGTTGAGCAAGATCACAGCTAAGTATTAATATACAACAATCAATTTTTGTATACTAGCAATGAGAAAATCCAAAAACGAAATTAAGAAGACAGTTGCATTCACAGTAGCACCAAAATGAATTAAATACTTAGGAATAAATTTAATAAAAGAAGTACAACACTTTTAAAATGGAAAGTATAAAGCATTCAGAGAAATTAAAGAAGATATAAATAAATGTAGGTGCATTCCATGTTCATGCATTGGGACATACATGACTGTTAAGGTAACAATTCTGGGACAGTCACTTGACCTGGTGAGTTAAGACACCTGTGTCCCATATCTGATTGCTTGGGTTCAATGCCTGCCTCTTGTTCCCGATTCCAGCTTCATAGCAATGCAGACCTGAGAAGGCAGTGGTGATGATTTAAGTAACTAGGTCTCTGCCACCCACTTTAGAAATCTGATTCAGATCCTGGCTTCACCCTGGCCCTGCCCCAGCCAGTGCAGGCATTTAGGGAGTGAACAAGCAGATGAGAGCATTCTCTCACGCTCTCCCCACCACCACCCCCACTCAAGCTCTCCAACTCTAAAATGTAAATAAACAGTTCTTCCCAAATTGATATACAAATTCAGTACCACTCCTATGAAAATCATAGCAAGCACTTTTGAATATTGACAAGCAGATCCTAAAATTTATATGGAAATTCAGGGGCCGGTGCTGTGGCATAGCTGGTAAAGCCCTGGCCTGAAGTGCCGGCATCCCATATGGGTGCCAGTTCAAGTCCCAGCCGCTCAACTTCTGATCCAGCTCTCTGCTGTGGCTTGGAAAAGCAGTAGAAGATGGCCCAAGTGCTTGGGCCCCTGCACCCACATGGGAGACCCGGAGGAAGCTCCTGGCTCCTGGCTTCGGATCAGTACAGCTCCGGCCATTGCGGCTATCTGGGGAGTGACCCAGCAGATGGAAGACTTCTTTCTCTGCCTCTCCTTCTCTCTCTGTGTAACTCTGAGTTTCAAGTAAATAAATAAATCTTTTAAAAAAATTAAAAAAATTATATAGAAATTCAAGTGATTCAAAATAACCAAAAAGTTCTGAAAATGAAACTTCCTGATTTGAAAACTTACTTACCGGGGTAGGTGTTGTGGCACAGCAGGTTAAGCTGCCACTTGGGATACAAGCATCCCATATCAGAGCTCCAGTTGGAGTCCCTGATACATTACTTCCAATCCAGCTTCCTGCTAATAAATCCTACAAGGCAGCCAATGATGGTTCAAGTATTTGGGTCTCTGCCACTCCAGATGGAGTTCCAGGCTCCTGGCTTCAGGCTACCCAAGCCCTAGCTGTTGTCGGCAGTTGGAGAGTGAACAAGAAGATGGAAAATTTCTGTGTCTCTCTATTGCTCTGCTTTCAAGCAAATCAAAATAAATAAATATTTAACAAATGTATTTCAAAGCTACAGTAACTAAGAGTATAGTATTAATATAAGGAAAGGTACTATTGTGGCAGTGCCGGCATCCCATATGGGTGCTGGTTCGAGTCCCAGCTGCTCCACTTCCAATCCAGCTCTCTGCTATGGCCTGGGAAAGCAGTAGAAGATGGCCTAAGTCCTTGGGCCCCTGCACCCTCGTGGGAGACCCAGAAGAAGCTCCTGGCTCCTGGCTTCGGAATGGTGCAGCTCTGGCCGTTACAGCCAACTGGGGAATGAACCATCGGACGGAAGAGCTCTCTCTCTGCCTCTCCTCTCTCTATGTAACTCTGACTTTCAAATAAATAAATAAATCTTTAAAAAAAAAAAATTAGGCCCCTACACCCATGTGGGAGACCAGGAAAAAGCTCCGGGATCCTGGCTTTAGATGGCCCAGCTCCAGCCACTGTGGCCATTTGAGGAGTGAACCAGCAAATGGAAGAGCTCTCTCTGCCTCTGCCTCTGCCTCTGCCTCTCTGTAATTCTGCCTTTCAAATAAATAAATCTTAAAAAAGTAAAGTAAAGTAAAAGAGAGGCACTATAGATCAATGGAACAGAAGTGAAAGCCCAAGAATCAACTCTAACATTTATGGTTAACTAATTCTCATCAAAAGTGCCAAGGCAATTCAGTGGGGAAAAGATGATCTTTTCAACAAATGATACTAGAACAATGGAGTATCAAATGCAAAATGAATAATTTAGGTCCTTTATTCTACCCACGTGCAAAAAATAGACTGAAAATGAATCAGAGACCTAAATGTAAGAGTTAAAACTATAAAACTTTGGTGCCAGTGTTGTGACTCAGTGCATTAATTGCATCCAGCAACCGATATTGGAGTACTAGTTCAATACTGGCTGCTCCACTTCCAATCCAGCTTCCTGCTAACACACCTGGAAGGCAGCAAAAGATTGCCCTGCCACTTTGGAAAACAGTTCGGCAGTTTCTTGAAACTTAACCAGGATGACCAAAGAAATATTAGAAGAAAAGTTGGACACATCTCAGTAACAGATTTCAAAATATACCGTAGGGCTACTGGAACCAAAACGGCGTGATGCTGGCATAAAAATAGACAATCAGCCAATAAAACAGAAGAGAAACCCCAGAAATGAATCCATACATCTACAGCTGACTGATATTTGACAAAGAAGCTAAAGCACACCCTACAGAAGAGAGAGACTTCACCAAATTAAATGGGAAAACTAGATATACATATACAAAACATCAAGACACATACACTCCCATCTCACCCTGTACAAAATCTCAAAATGCATCAAAGATCTAAATGTATGACATGGAATGATTAGGGAAAAAAAACAAGGGGAGCACTTCCAGGACTTTGACATAGGCAACATAAACAAAACCCAACAAATGGGATTATACCTAACTAAGAAGCTTCTACACAGCAAACAACAGAGTAAAGAGACAACCTGTGGGCCAGCGCTGCGGCTCACTAGGCTAATCCTCCGCCTTGCAGTGCCGGCACACTGGGTTCTAGTCCCGGTTGGGGCGCCGGATTCTGTCCCGGTTGCCCCTCTTCCAGGCCAGCTCTCTGCTGTGGCCCGGGAGTGCAGTGGAGGATGGCCCAAGTGCTTGGGCCCTGCACCCCATGGGAGACCAGGAGAAGCACCTGGCTCCTGCCATCGGATCAGCGTGGTGCGCCAGCCACAGCGCGCCAGCCGCGGCGGCCATTGGAGGGTGAACCAACGGCAAAGGAAGACCTTTCTCTCTGTCTCTCTCTCTCACTGTCAACTCTGCCTGTCAAAAAAAAAAAAGAGAGAGAGAGAGAGAGACAACCTGCAGAATGGGTGAAGACTTTGCAAACCATTTATCTGATAAAGGATTCATATCTAGACTATATAAGGAACTTAAGAAACTCTACAACAAAACAACAATCTGTCCAGTTA